TATGATTCTATGATTCTCTTTGTACAGTTAAAGCAAGGACTGGCTATTACTTGAACTTTTGGGTTAATCAGCTTTTCAGCCCATAGATTTGGGCAACTGTTAGCACAATGCTAGGTGGAATTTCTCAAGTGAATAGAGTAATGTGAGAATTGGCTGTATGGTGATGAAAGACAGTGGGAGATGAGATAATTTTTTTTCCAGGGAAACTCATTCACTCTTTCTCCCAGACTTAAACTCATCTCCTTAACCTGGGAAGGCCTCACAGTCGCCAACTCTGATACTCCTGTTGAGTGATGCTGTTGTCCCTCCTGGCCTTCTGTTCAGCTTAGCTTCTGGGTTTTTTCTTTAATTTTGTCCCTGCTAAGGGAATGTGAACTTGTCCGTATGTTATCTTCAAAGAAGGCATAGTCTGGAGTTTGGAACATGTTTCCTTTGGCCTGAAACCGAATACAGGTCACTAAACCTGAAATAAGTTCAGGATTGTTCAGATCGTTCATCTTCTGCAAATCACTGGAATGAGCATCTCCTTGCAGTCTTCCAGTACCTGGGATGTAGCAGATGCCAGCCAGAATCCTGCACAGTCTTCCACAGAGGTGGAGAAAGCAGCGAAGTCATCAGAAGGCAGTGAAGTGTCAAGTGAGTTCCCTGCTGAATAATTTTCCCAGAAACCTGACTTTATTTCCAGGAGAATACACTTCTGTACCACAGGTGGAAGGGTTGAGCTTTTCCTTTGGTTCAGGCTTGAAGGAGTAGAAGCTCTGGGCACTCTGTGATGTTCAGTGAAATGAATGGAGACTTCCACAAACACTGCTCTGTTTGGGATCAGTTCTCTGCTTTTCCTGCAACACACACAAAACTGTTCTGGGGGTTAGCTGCCCTGTTTCTCTGTTTTGGACATAACTTACTTGTTAAACGCTGTTCTCTATCCCTTGAATTTAGTGGGTCTCAAAATGACAATATAGATCAAAAAACTAGTGTGAATGTCAGGAAACCAAGAATCTGGGGGCCCAGCTGTAATTTGAAACAGCTTTGTGTATTCCCCTGCAGAGTGTTTGCTTTCTTTTGAAGTGTTCAAGAACACTGCAGAGGGAATAACTGACTTGCTCTGTGGAGACATGAAGTCCTTGTGGTTGGGAAGTTGCATGTTTCAAACTGACTTGGCCTGTTTGGGGTGGAGGTAAAAGATCTGCTGGAAGTGTGAGCTCACTTGAGAAGAAAGGGGTTGAGAATCTTTCTGTTGAATGTTCTCTTCTGTGTTTGTGCCCACAGATTGCAGCCAAGGCCCATCTATTGACTTGTTGAGTACATCTCCTAAAGCTCCCCTAGGTAAGCCTTTGCTATCTCTTAGATTGGTCTTGTTCTTTTATAGCTACTGTTCAGTACTAAGCTCAGTGGAGCTGGAACTGATAAACCAATTTACAGAAGGTCTAAAGGAGCTTATCTTCCTGTGGAGCCAGTACTGAGGATCTCCCTGAACCCCAAAACCAAGCCACAGTTTACTGGAGGTTTCCTCCTCCTTTGGATGATCAAGTTCAAAGCTGTCACCTTCCCAAAAACTTGTTTTCTTTCTGAGCTTTGGGCAAAATCTGGCATTTGCATATCTATAACTTGGCTGATCAAGGCCACTGTGGCTCTGGTGTTTGTTTTCCTCTGTCCCTTCCCCCCAGATCTTTGGAGGCGGTTTAATTTTTAGCTTCCAGAGTAATAGGGATTTGCATCTGATTCTCCCCTGACACTGCTGTCCTGACTGCACACAGATCATCTAGCTAGAGCTTCTTTCCTTATGGAGAGTGTGCTCCTAGTGGTTTCATCCTGGGTGGAGAGCCCGAGTCCTCAAGCGTCTATTCATTCCCTGTGTTTTATGTCTCTTCCTCAGACATGTCCATGTGTCTATCAACACAAGGGCCTGCTCCTGCCAGAGGTAACTGGCTGACAGCTGGCCTGCGCTGTGACAAATCTGCCTGCCCCTTCTGTGATTCTGCCTTCAGCTCTTGAGCTTCCTGTGCTTGGAGGGAGCGAATGAACCAAAGCTTACATGTATCATATTGGGATCTAAACGAGCTATTCCATAACTGGAAAGGGATCTTAGTTCTGTTTTTCTGATAGTAATAGAAAAAAATCCCAAATAACCCCAAAATGTTAGAAACAGTGAGCTGAAAACAGTCTTGGATAGTTTTAAGTGTTTTGAACCCCCCTATTTCAAAAACCTATGGTAAGAGTAGAAAAGATACTTTAGATCATTCTTGACAGCCTTTCCTGTATGGGCTAGCAGAAGTCCTGTGGGTGTAGAAAGTAAGGTGACGCTTCTATGGAAGAAAAGCCCAACAAGGGCAGTAAAATATTTTGGGGCTACATGTTGGAAGCTGAGAAAATGTCCTGGGCAGTCCCTCTGTTTGCTTTGTTCACACACTTCTTCCCAGGCGTCTGCTGCTTGGCTGGACCTTGGCTGGTTTTACAAGTGTGGCATGCATCATGCCCTTGGAGCGACAGGTTCCTGGTGCCAGGTGCTGGGGAACCTGCTGCTTTTTACAGCTCGCTGCACTTAGGTCCATGTTGTCATTGGTCTGTTCATGTTAACGTGACCTTAGGGTTCTAGCTCCTTTGCCCCTAAGGCATCAGTGAGGTGCTGACCTTCGTATGGCCCTGAAGCTGCGTCTTCTTGGATTTATGTATGGAATAAATCTAGTCTTTCTTTAGCTACCCTGATCCCTACTGGATAGGGTCACCAACTGCATGACACTTGGAGGAGCTATTCAAAGGTCTTACATCCATTGCTGGAGAAACTTGTGCTTCTCTAGGCCACCAGCCTGCACTTGTGGAGCTTCTAAGCGCGTCTTTCTTGGCTGGGTGAAGTCACCCAGGCTTCTGATGTGACGCTGCATGGCGTGCCCTGGATTCTATAGCTGGACTGTGGTGGATGTTCGTGTGGGTTGCTGACTGATGTTGCCTTCTGAAATTAATTCCTTTCTGCTTATTTGCTGCTTCCTTCCTCTTGCAGAACTTAAATCCTCCCTCATCGGAAAGAAGAAGCCAGGAGCTGCCAAGAAAGGGGTATGTCTGAGCTCTAGTTTTATGGAGAGGAGTAGAACATGTCTCATATTACTGCTGTCCTTTCCCTGGCACTTGTTTTCTGCCCTTAACCAAGCTGCATGCCGACACTCGTTTGGGGAAGGGAGAGCTTTGATAACGTTACTGGTGGTTTTGAAAGATGGCTTGTATATTAATGGACAAAAACTACTGGGCTTTGGACCGTTACTTATTATGGTCTGAAGTGTATGGGGCCGATCTGTTAGCGCCGGGGGGTTAACTCTTGGGTCTTCTTCCATACTTGGTTGCAAGCTCTGTTGGGTCTGTAGGTTGTGACTGCGCAGGGAGACTGAAGGCCTGATCAGTGCAGCAAGGAGTAGGATTTTGGTTTTATTCTATGATGAGCATTCTAGGGTGAAGAAACAGCAATCTTCTTGGTTTTGTTTTTCAAGTTGGGTGCAAAAAAAGGCCTTGGAGCCCAGAAAGTGAGCAGCCAGAGCTTCAGTGAGATCGAGCGGCAAGCCCAGGTGGCAGAGCAGCTGAGGGAGCAGCAGGCAGTGGAGTCCAGGAAACAAGCTGAGGAGTCCATGTAAGTACTCTCTTTGGGCTGAGTACCTTGCATACGTAAGGCAGAAGTAATACGAGGGTAATGCTGTTCACTCTAGGACCACCTCATGGGAGTATACAACATCCTGCTCAACAGGATGAGCAGCAGCTATAAGCCAGCGTGGCCCTGACAACAGGGCACAAGTTATACTGTCAGGTTTTATTCAAATTAGCACCCCTGGAAGAGTTTAAGGAGCAGACATGGAAGTATCCTGTGTTTCTGTTGACCTTTGCATAGGGCTGAAAAAGGGAAAGGCTGAACTGGGTGGGGTGTTCTCCCTGGGGGTGGGGAGGCAGTGCTTACAGTATGGAAATAATGGCTAGCCAAAGAAGAGGTGAGATAGGAAGACAAGCAGTAGGTTCTGTGTGAGGATTTCTGGCAGAGCTATTGTGGAAATAGGTGTTTTGGTGAGTTGTCAGGGTACTCTTCCCCTTGCCCCCTCCACAATGTGGGCTGGGGACGGGGAGGGTAATGCGTTGGTACCCACCATAGCTCTTTCCTTTAGAGTCACCTCGATGCGACTGGCTTATCAGGAGCTGCAGCTTGCTCGGAAGAAGGAAGAGAAGAAACTTCAGAACCTTGAAGGGAAGAAGCGTGAACAAGCTGAGAGGCTGGGCATGGGCTTGGTGTCCAGAAGGTACTTGGCTGTGGGTGGCATAGGACAGACAGGTGTCTTGGAAGCACTCTCCTCTGGAAAAGTTTCTTCCAGGCAGTAGCTTGCTGCTCTTGTAATGGATAAGGAGCTGATTTTAAGTGCTTGTATGCTGGACTATATCTAAAAATGCTTCAGGCCCCAGAAGGAATGGGGGTCATGTTCAGAGGTTCTGGTTCTTATTGGAGCTTTTCCAAAGAGGCACGTGGCCTGTCAGTGCCTGGCCCTAGAGCCCTGCTGCTTGACAGATGTCCCCCTGCAGGGGTGGACATTCTCCCTCAGGAAGGTAGCTCAAGACTTCTGAGGGAGTCAGAATAAGCTAGATAAGTGGTGAAGGGGGCTGGCATCCCACAACTCTCCCTCGAGACTTGAGGCACCTGCACTGCCAGTGAAGGCCAAGTGCAGTTTTGAGGCAGACTGGTTGTAGGGGCTGGATGCTGTGAGACCCGTTGGCCCTGACTGCCTGTTTATTGTGCTAGTTCTGTTTCACACTCGGTGATGTCTGAGATGCAAGTAATAGAGCAGGAGACACCGCTGGCTGCAAAATCTTCTCGCTCCCAATTGGACTTGTTTGAAGATGCTGGAGGCTTCACATCTGGACCCCCCAAGTAAGATTCAGCTGCACTGTAGTCTTTGGCTACTTCCTGAATTTAATGTATGGCCTAAATTACCTATCTTTGGTACCTAGGTACAAATACAATCCCTTCTCATTCGAAGACGCATTTGGCTCACGATGGGAAACGGACTCTTCATGGGGTATGGACAAAGAGGAGGAACCTGAGGTGACCATTTCCAGTATCCGGCCAGTTTCAGAGAGGTGAAGTGCCTGCCACTGCTGCTGTTGCATTCCGTGTGGGACAAAGGGATAGGTCTGGGTGCTGTGGGGAGAGATGCCCTGTTATGACAGGAGCCTTGTGCTGCAGAAGGTAACTTGCATGGACAAGCACAAGAAAAAGGGCCTTCAGTGAAAGAGGCTTGGACTCTTCTTTGCCTGTCATGTCCCCGAGTTTGATACAGCCTTCATGGTCACCAGGTGCCAGCTGTCCTGAGAACCCTGATGGTAGCTAGCACTTGAGGATTTGTTGCTTTTCTTTGGTCAGATGGAGTCTGAGAGAGAAGTCTGTTTCTTTACTGTGTTGGTGAGCTGAAGCTGAGATGTCTCCTCTCTTATTTCCTCAGACCCACCAGTAGGCGGGAGACAGAGAGCAGGACATCAGTTGTGGAATCCAATGAAGCCCGGCAGAAGTTTGCAGGGGCTAAAGCCATCTCTTCAGATATGTTCTTCGGGCGGGAGGCAGACACTGAGGTAGATGCACTCTGCAGTGCTTAAGCTGGTACAGCTCTGGCTTCATCTCCTCTTGTTTGCTCGGGTCCTAGTTTGTTCCCGTGCTTTCTAACTGTTTTGTTTTGTTTCCTGGTGTAGTATGAAGCCAGATCCCGACTGCAGCAGCTCTCGGGCAGCAGTGCCATCAGCTCTGCGGACCTCTTTGGAGAGGCCGAGAATACGCATGCAGGTTCGTTAGCACTCGGCGGGTTGAGGGAAGGGGGCATGTTTGGAAGACCTAGACTGGAGCGGTGGGTGGGCTAGGGTGCGCTCTGGAGCTGGGGGACTCTGGGCTAACTCCTGCTGGTTCTCATAGGTGGCGTGTCCATTGGAAATGTCCTGCCTGCAGCTGATATTGCACAGTTCAAGCAAGGAGTGAAGTCAGTTGCTGGCAAGATGGCTGTCCTAGCCAATGGGGTGATGAACTCCCTCCAGGTGAGGTTACACTCTGGCACCTTCAGCAAGGCTGTTGTCATGCTTGGGGACTTTCACCACATCCTGGCTTCTGCTGGAATTGTCCTTGTCTTCTCAAATCATGTGGAAGGCCTGGGCAGAGACCTGTCTTCCATAGCTGATAACTATGCTACAATAGCTCAGCAATTCCAGGTGGCTGGCTAACTCTACTTGGCCAGCCTTCCTCTCCTGCTGGACAGGATACCTTGTTATGTCAGATGATGCTGTTTCCCACAGATCCCAGGCAGAACTTAAAATGGCCTTAACTTTTTACTTCCTGCCTTTGCGTGGTGTCCTGTCTAGGTAACCTCGCACTGCCTTCCAATCCCAAACACCCCAAGACCTTGTTACCTGTGTGCAAACTCCAGACAAAGTGTTGGAGCGTGGTGTCTTGGTGTGTTTCCTCCCCAGGATCGTTATGGCTCATATTGATGACCCAGGGACTGCAACTCAAGGAGAAGCCAGCAAGAGGCACTGATGCCACCTTTGCCTGGAATAAACTCTGCAGGATTGTCTTAGTTTGTTAGGGGTGGGTGGGAAGGGGAGAAGGTAAGCAGAGGGGGTCAGGATATGGCTGTGCCCAGGATGCTTTCCAAATATCTCTGAATTCCACTCTATTAAAATTTGATGTGCCCTCACACCCACTGCTATCTGCTAGCCAGTGGAGCCAGGCCTTCTTACAGAGTTAGCCTCACTGCTGTGAAAGATACGACAGGAACTCCTGGGCTGCCCTCATCAGTGCTCCTGTCCTTCTTGGCCCGTACCTTTAGCTCACCAAGTGGCAGAGGAAAGGGGAATGCTATTTTTCTGAACATCACGTTACCTGGTTGCCATGGACATGACTGTTTTTTTGCTCTGCTCAGTGCTCCCAATCCATGGTGCTGTGGAATCCTCTGTATTTGCAGGGTTTGACTTTTACCATGGGGTAATCCTTTTTACTGTCTTGTAAACCAGCATATATTGATGCGGGAGAAAAATATCAAACAAAGCAATGATTATTTTTTTTTTAGCTTCTACTTCTATCATTAGCAAAAAAGGCCCAGGTGAAGAAGCACTGTGAAGATATTTACTGCATCCTGGTTGTTGTGTTGCCCAGCTTTGGACAAACCAGGTCAAAGTCGTGAACCTCTGACTTCACCGTGAGGTCACCTTCCAGAGTGCAGTAGTGAGGACTGTTTTTGTAGTCCTGTTCAACCCGGCTCTCTGCTCCTGCCTCTGTTTTTAACAAGAGCATGTGTTTTTCTTCCTTTGACTGGGTAGTAAGAAGAAGTGTGTGTGTGTGAAGAGCTAGTACATACCAACTATTACCAAAAAGAGAGGCTGGGGCCGTTTCTGCGGACTGTACCATTGGATGGTGAGGTGGATTGGGAACTGGCTGAAGGAAAGAGCTCGGAGAGTTGTGGTCAGTGGGGCAGTCTAGTTGGAGGTCAGTGCTGGGTTCACCTGGACAAAGGGATGGACTGTCCTCTCAGCGAGTTTGCTGACAATACCAAACTGGG